GGGGTATCTCTGCCCAGCCACCTGAAGCACCTCCTCCCTCTCCTTCTTCACTGATTTTGGTGTCTGCAGGGCTCTTTCTCTCACATATTCTCACTCCTTTCTACCAGTTGCTGATCAGCAGCAGGGCTTTTCCCCTTCTTAGATGTTACCACAGAGGTGCTACCACTGTTGCTTATAAAAGCCCCTGGCCACAGCTGAGCTAATGGGACATGTGAGAAGCTTCTGGCATCCTTGTAGCCCACTCACTACCAAACCCTTGTCACGCAAACCCAAAACACTGCCCCAAGAGCAAGGTTTCTGTGTGCTTTGCTAAATTCAGGAAGCAACATGAGGTCAGTCACATTGGTTCAGAGCATGGACTTACTATTTATTATCCCAGTCACTCTCATCCTGGCAATAACTAAGACCTTCTGTTTCAGAAACTACTCTCATCATTCAGAAAACCTAATGGGCACAGCCATGTGTTGCCTCAGGAAATGTTTTCTTTTTGCTTGTTCTGAACACTCATGAACTCTGCTCTGTCGATGTCCTTAGTCCTCTGAAGTAGGCTAAAGGACCACTGCACATCCAGTCAGCCACAAAAGGGACAAAAGAAATGCGAATACAGCATGATTTCATTACACTACTTCCCCAAAACACCCTTCCCCCTTATCTTACTGCAATTTGACATCCTCTCTTGCTTGGACTCCTGCAAACACCCTTGCCCCTGCCTTCTTAGCGATGACAGCACCATTGCCCTTTCTGGTCTCCACCTTTTCCCTTGTCACTCGTGTACAATCGCTTACTGTCTGCCCAGAATGTGAAATCCCCTTCAGACCAATGAGCTGTGCCTGCACTCAGGCATGAGCAGAGTGTCATGCAGCTCAGCAATTTACATTAATCTCGCTATTGGGGTTCACAGAGACACAAGAAAACCAACAAATTCGTGGACAAGAGAATCTGCTGCCACACTGCTCAAATTCAGGAAAAATCTGTGCTGATTATACGAGTTACTGGAGGACAAAGCAATTAACCTCTACATACGGCAATATTTAAGTATCACTCAAAGCATCACTGGGCACACAAATGAAAGACACTGAACAAGGACTAGTGAAAAGGGCAAAGAAAGTATTAAAGGAAAGGAAGAATCATAGAACAGAATCATAGAATCAGCCAGGTTGGAAAGGACCTCTGAGATCATCAAGTCCAACCTTTGATCCACTACCACTGTGGTTACTAGACCATGGCACTAAGTGCCACATCCAGTCTCATCTTAAAAACCTCCAGGGACGGAGAATCCACCACTTCCCTGGGCAGCCCATTCCAATGCCTGATTACCCTCTCAGTAAAGAATTTCTCCCTAATATCTAACCTAAACCTCCCCTGGCAGAGCTTAAGACCATAATGATGTGGAAGATACTCTTAACACAGGTTGAAGACAGACAAGACGCCATCACTTGCACTACAATACTCCACTTAGCTGCAATTCCAAAACAATACTGTTTAAATAGCAAATGCTTACAAGATGTCACTAAAAACAAGACAAAGACACCATGTAAAAAGATGCAAAGGATTAGAAAAGAGATTTGGTATAAACCAGAGAAAGCAAAGGCATGCAGAGCTTCCACTGATAAAATATTTCAATACTGGTACAGGTGACCAGACTTGACTACCCAAAACCTAATGGGGATGATTTCCACACAGTAGTATCAGTCCAAGAAATACACCCCATTTGTAGGAGATTGAATTAGCCACTCACATTCATCAAAACATCACTGGACATAATAAACATGTTTTGGGGTAGAAGTGAATAGTCCTAGCAGATGTTCACTGCTGGGCAGCAGAATTGGCAACTGTGTGTGTGAAAAGGCCCCAGTTAAAAACACAGGATTAGTTTATTTCCCCTGTTTCTTGCATTCTTTCTTGAGGCCCTAATTTCCCCATTTTTTCATTCATTTTCCCCCCTAGAATATAACTTACCTTTTCTGTTCTGTCTCTGTAGTCTATTTCATTTTTTCCCTCCTACCATTTTTTCCCTTCATCCATTATTTTGAGGATTACTTCCTCTTTTTTGCACCTCTTGATACGCTACTGTTACCTACTGATAACAGGGACATTTCCTGCTCAGGAGCACAGCCTCCTCGTGTTTCCTATCCTCCCACAGACTCCTGTGACACATGGACACCTTATGCCTTTCTCAGCCTGTAGAGGGCTATACGACCTGCTGAGCACATCAGAGCGTCCAGGATGCAAGAACAGATGGCCTAAGAAATGGCTGATATCTGCCTAGTTGTTCCCTGCTGAAACAAAATTAGTGCTGGACTCAAATATAACTCCTTCTGTTCCAGACATAAGATTACAGAGGCCTCCAACAGATGGCAAAAGTAAAACTACTGTTCCCATTCACATCCAGCTGTGGAAAGGAAAGGGTGCCTGTCAGTGGTCCTCTCTTTGAGCTTTGCTAAAGCTCACCATTTCCTCACCAGAGAAAACCAAAATGACTAAAACAGATAGTGGGGCACCTTGCCAGTCCCAAAAGTCCACCTTTAGAGGAGATGTGCCTCCCCCCTTGGCCCCACTCAGACACACCATGGAGAACCCTTTCACAAGACAATCAGTGACTCCTCACACCTGCATCACGCCATGTGTTTGACACCTCAGTTTTGTTTAAGGGCCTTTGCTGTACTTTTCGTAAGGTTTTCGTTCTCCCCTGGATCATTTTGAGATGAGGAAACCACACTGTGCTCACCACTGTGGATGAGAACCACCACCTGCACACCCTGAACCTCAGCCCAAGCCGTGCCCACAGCCACGCACCGCCCGGTTCTCCCACTCCACCTGTCCTGGTGAGGACCCCTGGAGCTCCTCCGCGTCTGAATTTGCAAAGAGCAATTGTCCTGGAGATGTGTGAGATCTTCCACGGTAGAAGGTGTCCCTGCCCACAACAGGGGGGCTGGAAGTGGATGATCTTTAAGGTCCCTTCCAACCCAAACCACTCTACAGTTCTGTGATTCCACATACGGGGAAGGCAACTACGGGGAAGAGGCCCCTACACGGTTTTTGTTCCAGTGACCGCTCACGCACCTCCAGCGCACACCCTGCTGTGATCCCGAGCTCATCCTCTGAGCGGAGCAGGTGAGGGAGAGATGCAGGACTTGGAATACGAAATGTGACCAAGCCATTTGCCAACTCGTTTCCCGCTGAGCGGGCGGCCGTGACCCCCCGATCCAGATGTGCGCTGAGGCTGCCGCCCGTACCGGGAGCGCTGCCGCGGCCCATCTCACCTCTCCCGCCGGGCCCGCCGCCTCCGCCTCCTCGTTCCCCGAGAAAGGCTACCGCGTCGCGTCCGCTGTCGCCATCGCCCTCCGCCGCCTCCACCTCCGCGAGCGGCTGCCCGAAGACCGCATCTTCCTCGCCCTCCGTGCGGGCCGGAGCGGCGCAGCGGCAACTCGTCCCCCGTCCCGTCCCGTCCCGCCCGGTCCCGGCGCGGCCGCATCGCCCCCGCCCGCGGCCCCGCCCTCCCGGAAGCGGAAGCAGGGCACACCAGAGAGTCACGTGGGGGAGCGGGTTTTATTGGCGTCATTTTTAAGCAAAAATCGTTCCTTTGTGAGGAACAGGTCAGGTACGCACTCTGGTGATATCCAGCTAATTCGTCAATAAATGGTAAAGTGCAAGATCGAGATCCCTCTGCACTGCCGAACTGATGCTGGATTGTATCACAGCCTGACCGAGGTTTCTAACACGAGCACCAGCTGTGTAAAATGAGGGTTTGCCATCGCCTTGAATTGCGTCAGCCGAAGGTCTTAGCAGTGACTGTCTGAACGGAGATGGAGTTACACACAGTGGCCTGCATTAGGAGAGATACAGTCAGCACACCAAGGGATGTCAGTGCCTCTGTAGACTTGAGACCTGTGAGGGCACACTTGGAATGTTGCATCCAATTTTCTCACCGCTCCCCAGTTAAAAGGAGAGGGGAGGAACTGGGGAGGGTTCAGTAGAGAGTTCCCAAGACAGTCAGAGGAATCGGCATCGCCTTCCTCTGGAAGGGGCGGGGGTCTTGGCGCGGGCGGAGCAGAGGCGGTCGGCGAGAGGCGGTCGGCGAGGGCGCGGAGCTGCGCGGCGAGACGGCTGAGCTCCGGGCCCGCCGGCGGGGCGCCGGCGCCGGGCTGCGGAGCGCAAGGTGGGCCGCCGCCTCCTCCCTGCGGGGACAAGGGGTTAAGGGGCGGCAGGTGACTGCAGCGTCCCCGCCCCCCCCCGGAGCCCCCCAACCTGAGTGCATGTTGCAGGTGGCAGGAGATGCACGCGGCCCCGCCATCCGGCCTCGCCCACACTCGCAGACAGCCCAGGCGGCGGTTCGCGCGCAGCAACCCGTCAGACACCGCGGTCCCCGAGGCGGCGCCCGGCGCCGGCCTCGGAGCGCTGCGGGCAAGAGAAGCGACTGCGTTAGGCGGCGGCAGGCCGCCTGTACACCCCCTAGGCTGCCCCGATGAGGTCTGCAGGCAGTCACTGCTCTGGCCCCAGCGCCACAGAAGCCACACAGAGCAGAGTCAGACCGTAGGAGTCCTACCCCCGAAAGAGCTGGAGCTCAAGGGGGCTTGTCCCTCCTCTGTGCACTGTGGCAAAGCCTCCGAACCTTGGAAGCTACCTGTGACCTTATAGACAGTGTGTGACCAATTCCCTGCCTCATCCTTTTGGAGCAGGGAGTCTCAGTGGGCAGGACTGAATTCGATTTGTGTCTGCTGTCCTGGATAGACATGTTTCAGGCACATGTAGCCAGAGGACAGTACACATGTTCCTGGGCCCGACACTCACCCACGGCCCTGTGCTGGGCAGCTGCCAGATCAGCATCCTCAGGGTGCAGGAGGCTGTACCAGGACTGACCGACTAGCTCTTCCCTGCGGTAGCCAAGGTGGTAGGTGACACTGGGGGAGACAAGGGGAGTGGGGACTGAGTGCCATACAGGGTCCACACCCTGTCAGCAAGGAGCAGCAGCTGCTTGATGGAGAGCAAAACAACAGAGGTACAGAAATAAGTTGTAAAGGAGGGAAGAGGTCTGTGAGTCTCAGTGCTCACACAGTATCTAGCCTGCATCCCATACAAGGCTTGGTGAAGGGAAATGATTCTTGCTGCCTGAGATGTACAGCTGGAGCTCTGGTGCAAGCAGGCACACCTCACCTCTCCGTGACATCAATAAACGTCATGTCTAGGATGTGCGTGCTCTGGAATACGTCATCCTGGGAACCAGCTTCGCCATCTGCAGGCGACTGCATGACCGGTGAGCAGAGGGCCAGGAAGGCTGTGGTGGAGGGGGAGGGTGGCCAGCTCAGGGCCACAAAGCGCCCACACACTGTCACGACCCGATTCCCTCCGTGCTTCAGCCGGAAGGCCTTGGACGTGCACATCTCACTGACAAAAGTGACTTCTGCAGAGAAACAAACCATTCCGAGTGGGTCAGAGGCTCCCCTGCTCTGCTCTCAGCAGGGCTGGCCCTGGATATCTGATCACAGCCACTGAGGGCCAGAGCAAGATGCCAACACCTGCAAGACGCCAGCAGAGGCCTCCCTTACCCCTGCCAGGCTCCTTCTGGGCGAGGAGGAGCTTCTTGTACACATCCTCATATGCTTGCCCATCCAGGATGTCAAAGACCGTGTCCCCCTGGGCGAGCAGCTCCACCTGACAAAAGAGGGGGCTTTCCTCAAGAACTGTGCCTCTTTTGGTGAGCCTTGGCTGGCACCATGGGCACACAGACCACTGGAGCCACAACCCAGCATCTGCTGGGGCAGTGTGCTGTGCACACAATAAAGGCACCAGGACAGTGACTGCAAATGCCTAGTGAGCAAGCCTTACCACGGAAAGGCCCAGGACCTGAGCCACGTTCTCCGAGATGTAGACCAGCTTTCCACTGGCCGATAGCACAAGCAGAAACCCCGGGAGCAGGGAGAGTAGCTCTGTGCCGAGGGCCGGTTCCGCAGGAGGAGCTGAGCCTGCAGGGGGATCAGGGTGAAGTGCTGTCTTGATGGAGCAGGAGCAGCGCCCCACACAGATGTAAGATAGTATGGGGTACAGCAGTGCCATGGGTACCTGGAGGGAACAGCTGAGCCCCCCGCAGCCGGAGGCACACCAGGGCCATGGTGTGGAGGTAGGAGAGCCGCTCCTTCTCCTGCATGGAGATGGGCAGCAGGGAACGCAATGCCTGCAGCTCTGCATTGATCTGGTCCCGGCGAGCCTTGGAGGCACTCTTGGTTGACCTGCAAAGCCAGCCATCTGGGGAGGTGCATCCAGGGAGGGAAAGGGACAGCATTCCCCACCTGTCGCTATGGGGAGAATTATGAGCTTGGGGATATGGAGTGGAGATGCTCAGCACCCATGCCAGCTGCTGCCTCTAGGAGAGCAAACCTTGCATAGCTGTTTCGGGTGCAGGCAGAGGTGCTCAAGGCTACCCAAGGGGACATGCTGCTGGTGTGGCTGGTGTCTCTCCTGCTGGGGACCAGGTTGGACAATGACCTGTGCTTTGGTGAGGAGCCCACGCGACACAACCTCGCCACCAAACCCCGCAAGGATGGAAACTGCATCCAGTGCCAGAACGTGCACCCCAGTCCACCAGATATGTCTTTCCTCTTCAACTACCCAAAATCCCTCTGCCCCACCAAGCTCCTGCACCTCCTCCCCACGTGCCAGCTGACAGCCCCACTGTCTCAGGCTGATGTAAGCCTTTTGCAAGGGCCATCAGACCTGTCCCAGGGCTCTCAGAGGCCATCACAGCCCTGAAAGTGGGAGGTGGGGGGCAGCTCACCTGAATGGCCTTGAGGCCCTGGGCGCCTGCTTGCCCGTCCTGGGCAGGCAGCTCATCTCTGCCTGCAAGGGCTGGTGGCAGTGGCTGCAGAAGATGGTCATACTGCTGGTGCTGCGATGCCTGAAGCTGGCAGGCCTGAACTGCTGCCTCCTTCGCTTCGGGCTGTGGCTGAACCTGCTGACCCCTCTGCTCCTGGCCTCCTTTTGTATCCTCCTGGGGTGCAGAGGCCAAGCCACTCATGGAGAGAGTTACCTCTTGTGACGCAACTCCAAACAGCTCAGAGCTATTTTTAGAAGGCGGGCTGCTAAAAATAGCCTTGCAGCCGGCTGCAATCTGAGAGGGGAAGTAATAAAAGGAAGCCAGGGTCTTTAAAGCAAACCTGCCACTCAGGAGGGGGCAGTGACGAAGACAGCAGGGATCCCCCTGCATGGCATACATCTGCCCAGTTCCTGGCCCACAGCTGCTGCCACCTCAGCAGAAGGTTCTGTGTCTAGTCTGCCTGCCTGGCAGCTGCTCTCCAGCATCACTGGTGAGCTGGGTGCTGTGAGAAGGAGCTGATAAGCCAAGAAAATGCACTGAAGATATCTGGACCAAGACAGTGAGAATTTCCCATGCTCAGGCCTGCAGCAGGGTCCTGGCAGAGGGAGTCAGGGCCACAGCACCCCTGAACCCAAGAGGACCCTTCAAGGAGATTGGGGTGTTGGTGACCCCATTCTTTTCTTCCCAGAGAGGCCTTTTCCCCACCAAAGGTTTGCTCTCCTAGAGGCAACTGACATGGGGTGCTGAGCCTTTCTAGGGTCTGTTGTCTCCACTTGATGGTGTAGAGATTGTGATTCTTTCCAGACAAGCCCCAGTGACAGCCATTCATGGACAGAATTGAGAGCACCCTTGGGGAGCCTCTGCTCAGCACCACATTACCCAGCCCAGCAAGTCTGTGTGGTCTGTGGGTGTTTCCTGGTGCCTGGCATCCTGCAAGGACAGTAAGCTTGGTGCTTCAGTGCTGGGAGAGGGGATGCCATGGCAAAAAATCACTATTTCATTTCACAGCTTGAGAGAGAGCCTGTGGCTGAAGCAGTTGATTTGAGGAGTTAGAGCTGCTGCACAGCAGAGGGTAGATGTCCACCCAGCCCTCACAAGTAATCTGCAGGTGCCAAGGACCACAAAGGAGGAGCCGAGGCTGGGGTTGTTCTCCCTGAGCCAGATGTACTGTCAGCACACCTGTCTCCCTCCAGGCCCCAGGCTGCCACTGATGCTAATCACCCACCACGGTGAGCTGCCAGTGCATGAAGAACAAGCTCTTGTCACAATTGAGGTGCCTTCTGTTCTCCTGCCACGGGGTTTTCACCACTCTTGTGCCACTCCAGACTGCTCCATTGTGCCCACATTGGCCACCCCTGCAGGTCAAGGAGCCCAGGCACCCACGCAACCTTGTGCTGCTGGATGAGCAGCATTTGACTCTGGCTGTGTGCCAGCCCTCAGGGCAGGGCAGACAGCCTAGGCCCTCTGCCACCCATTCCTGGCATGCGGCTGCAGTCATCTCAGCTGCCCAGGAAACACCATGAGTGCTTCCCTGGGCTAATGCTGTCCCTGCATTAGCCTCACTACAGTTGCCATGGGAGCTCCTCTTCACATCAGACACCGCACATCCACAGAAAGGGGCTTGAGCACAGTGCTCTGTGCCACCTGGGAAGACTGTCCCAGGCACCACTCCATCTCCAGCCCTGAAGCAGGAAGCAACAGGGCATCCACCTTTCTGAGGCAGCACAGCCCAGGAGATGTACACCACTTTCTTCCCTGTCCTCTTGGCAAGGCAGCACAGCCCTGGGCAGGAGGCAGGTACACCAGGGCAGTGCTGCTGTGGAGGGCCCAGCTTTCCTTCTGCCACCTCAGCCAGGGCTCACACCAGCCAGAGCCTGCTGCTGCCACAAGCCACTGCTGGCCTGCAGCTTTGGGGGAAAGCACTTGGTTCAGTCTCTCCTCTCTCACACCCTCTCTCCCCCAGTTCACCTGCTAGGACACACACAGCAGCAGAAACCATGTCTGCCTCAGAATTTATAAAACTGCCCCCGATTGCTGTTTTACAATTGGATCTGGGCAGAGAGTCCAGCTGGGCCCAGCCCTCCACATTGGGCTCAGCTTGGAGCTGGGGCCTGTCATCCAGTGCCAGGAAGTTGGTCAGTGCTGGCAGGAGCAGGTGTAGAGGTTCCTGCTCTCTTGAGGCAATGCAGGAACAGTTCATAGCCTGAGGTCAACCCCAAGGCCATGGCTGGTGGTAAAAGTTGATTCAGGCCCTTGGAAAGTGGCCGGGGACCGGACAGCACAGCTGCAGTTCCACAGGCAAAGGGAAGGAAGACGCTGGAGCCATCAGCAAGGAGAGGGGTCACAGCTGTGCTGCTGGGGCCAGCCAGTTTTTTTCCCCAGTGGCCAGCTCTGCCTGTACACTTGTGCTGCCCAAAGCATGACAAGGGCAGAGGGAGGCCTGGCTAGGGCAAGACAAACTGAGCTCACACCTTCCTTGCTTGAAAGGGCTAAAAATTCATGCAGGCAGTGGAGCAAGAGGTCAATGTGTGGAGGGGCGAGGGCAGGGTGGTAGAGGGACGAGTCGGCATCAGCCCTGGTTGGAGACAATGGGGCGACTGATGGTGCTGTTTGTTGTCATGGCCGAGAGCTCCCATCTGTAACACACCAAAGGGACACACTAAGAGAAAGCACAAACACAGCGCCCAGGGCTGGAGCAGCTTTGCTTCACATCAGCCTCAGCTGTAGTCTCCAGCCCAGCCTGCCCCAAAGCTGCACAGTGCCAAGGAAGGCCCTAGGCAGACCTCAGCCAGGGCTGGAGCACCCTAAGGACAGGGATCACCCACAAGGTGACCTCCCAGCAAGGCACACCATACCTGATGTCATGGGGAAGGCAGGACTGGTCCAGGCTGTACTGAATCACTGCTAGCTTACACAGCGTCTTTAGACTGGGGCCTGTGGAAAGAGGGCAGTTAGCCACAGCAGTCCTCATCTGGACACCATGGGGGGGGTCCAGCATCATGCAATTGGTGCCACAGGAAACAGGGCGGAGCACCCTGGCCATCCCTCTCAGGGACAAGGCAGAATGCATACCAGGGACCATCTGGAGCAGTTTTCTATGCTGCCACAAAGAAGTATGTGTGCAGGAGTGCATGACACACAGCTGCACCTCTGGCTGGTCTGCCTTAAGCCATGTATACTTGTCAGAGACAGCTGTTTGGCTCTGGGATACAGGCACCTGGAGCCACGTAGGGCACAGTATGGTGCTTCACAGCAGGGCCTGCTCACAGGGCATCTTGTGGCAAGAGGTACAGGCTGGGCAGGGAGTGCTCACGTACTGAAGTCGAGGATGTAGAGATCTGAGTGATCCATCAGGTCGAATTCATCACCCATTCCCTCCTCTGGAGATGGGCTGCAGAAACCAAGCACAATGTGTCAATCAGTGCCAAATTTTATTTTTTTTTACACCAATTACAGTCCCTTGGGCTCCCCAAGGGCTGAGCAAGTCTCATCCCTCCTGCCCCTCTGATGCCCCCAGCAGCACTCAGTCATCACTCTCACAGTTCCTCGCAGAGTAGGCAGAGCCACACAGAGCCAGAGAGCAAAAACACACACCATCTCCCTTGCAAGCAAGGGATGGGGGATCTGCCTCCTTCTCACAGATGACCATGATGATTCCAGCTGTGAACCTCCCCCTCACCTTGCCAGCCTCTGTTACTTTGCTGCACCTCCAAACGCAGGTCCCACACTGCAGGGAACAATCCTTTTCCCTTCTTGTACAATTGACCAGCCTCTAACTGGTTTCACTCTCTTCCTTCTCCATGTACCTCTCAAACTGCTCTCCAACAAGTGAGCAGCCCTGGGGACTTCCCTGGAAAAGTGGCACCCACCCCCCCAAGACACTAGGAAAGTGATGGCAAACAGCTGCCTCCATAACTGAGGCATTTCAAGGCTCTATTCGCTCAGCAATTTCAGTGGATCCAACCCTCCAAAGAGCTCCACTCAGAGAGGCAGAGCCGATCCCCAAGACAAGGCTGAGAATGACACTGATCAGGCTGGAGAAGGGATGTCACAGCAGCTCCTGAAGGTAGGCACACATGCTTGCACAAGCCTTTGTCCCGCTCCTTATGAGATAAACAGGCCCCATGGGCTGCTCCACAGCTGCCAGGGCCAGACAGGCTGGCATCACCTGGAGAATCAGTTCAGTGCTGGAGACTAACCAGCTTCTCAGCTGTGCTGTATCATGGAAGGCTGCCCTAGTAACGTCAGGAGACACATACAGATCAAACTTTCCAAGCAGGCAGGGTCAGCCCATCCCCACCTGGTCCCAAACACCACAAGGGGCAGCATTACACAGCCCACACTGTGCTTTCTACAGACCTCAGGCCAGCTTTGCCTCACAGCCAAGGGAAGGCATGGGAAGCACTGTGAAATACAAGGATTTGGGAAAACATCACATGGGACAGGCATTTGATCTAGGAAGAATCTGACACTACATACTGACAAACTACAAAGACCAAAAAGCTGAGCTGGTGTCCCTAATGAGGTAGG